CAGCCCTCGGCGATCCTGCAACCACGGTTGGAATTGTTGTTCAAAATCAATAAAAACAGAGTTGGAATAGTAATTGGAAAAAGAAGTCAAAACCATGATCTATGCGACCGCATAAATCAAAAAGTATGTGAACGTGCAGGGATTTCAACCCCTGCATCTGTTCCTTCTATGCGACTGCATAGGATTCTTCTATGCAATCACATAGAAGAAATATATGACCATTGAACGTTTGAATTTTTGGTGGTTATTTGTGAAAAATTGCAAATGTTTCATGATTTTTTAGCGCCATTTCTTGAGTATTGATGATTATCTATTTATAGATAACATGAGATCAATACAAAAATATATTGAAAAATCCCTTTCCATGTGTTAATATGCGCAAGAACATTTCAACTTGCTCGTAAATATCTACCTGCCGACTACTTTATAAGCAATATTCATCACGTAGAATGTCGCAACACTTGTGGGTACATTCGAAATCTTTGATAGCACACTCTTTCATTGCTTCCTTCATAAACATGTGGCCATTTCTGGAAAAAGAAATCTTTGAATACGACGCTGATGTTTGTTATAGTAGTTTTTCGCGTCGCTGTATGCGATCCTACAATACGTAACCCAGTTCGTTACACTATCCACCAGTTGGCTAAAAAACTCATCATCTTCGAATTCTTCTTCCTCATCGAAGTTTGATAGAAGCACACAATTGAAGTTGAGATCATCCATTGCGTTACTGATATTTAAGAAATTGTTAAATTTATTATAAGCGAGTTGAAGAAATTTTTTTGAACAGTACAAATTTGTGTTACTAACCTCGGGATTTCACATATCATACGTAAATGTGGCACGTGAGTTGTTTTCTTTGATTGACCTTTCAGTGCTGGTTGTAACAAATTTTCAAAATAAAAAAAGTTGCATCACATTATACCATTTCAATGTTTTCTTGCTAGTGCTGAAAGATTCCCAAAAAAAGTGCATTACCTACAACTTTTGTCTATCATGCATGTACTATTTGTCGTAAGAAATAAAGTAAACAATTTTAAACACAAACCTACACGGTATAATAACATATGAAATGGAAAATAATCATAACGTACATGGGTACGGGTACATAAAGCTATAATTGTCACAGGGAAAAAACGAAAAATAAGATAACCACATGAGTACTAGAGTTGGTAGTGTCACTAATAGAGTGATTTGTTGCGCTCATTAAACTATCACTCAATCCACTCAAATTTTTCATCAGCGTCTCGAATCACGCCGAACATATCTCGATAGCGCTTCTGTGCAAGAAGCATACAAGCAAAAAAGTACAGGGGGTTCGTCGCTGGAGTCTCCCAGCTGCAAGGAACTCTTCGGCGTAGGTCGACTCCAACATTTTCAGTCGGCGCCATATGGTATTTATCTTCGCTGCTACTTCCTCGACGGCACTGTTTGCGCGGTCAACAGAAAATGACAACTCCCGAGCAGAAATTTTCTTTTTCTTCCCCTTTTGCAAAGTCATCGCCGACTTCCTTTTTTCGCTCTTCGGGCATTTGAAGCGTTTACACTGGAGTTACACTTCTCTTCGCTCCCTTAGACTCAAACCAGTACTTAGTGGTGGCAATGAGTCGAGTCGAGCATCTACCCATGAGCTCGGCTCGTGCTCAAGGGTCGAGCTCGGCTTGGCCCACGAGCTGAGCCCATGAGCTCGTGTTTTTTTCTTTTCTTTTTTTAATTTTTAATTTTTTAATTTTTTTTCTTTTTTCGTCAATTTTTTTATGAGCGCACGAGCCTAAAGTTCACGAGCTCGACGAGTCGAGCCTTACTCTAACAATGCGAAGCTCGTTCGACATAACTTCGTCGTGGTCATTGCATACTTGTCACCTTCGTAACTGTAGCTAAAAAGTTGACTCTATCGGATGTAGATCTCATTGACATCTTTATCTTTAAAATCTTTGTAGTCCTTGTTTTCTTACAATAACGGTTACACAATAACGCAAACGCAAATGAGTTGATAACTGTAAAAATGCACATCTCTCTGTGCATTAGCCTAAGATTGAATTGAGCTAAGTATGGGCAGTTTCTTGACATAAATTGACTATACAAGCATCAAGACAGAATATTGATTAGATATTCGCTACAAATTCTCTACAAACAAACACAACCACTTCTCACAACTTACGGCAGCTACTAAATATCAGAGGAAATGCTATCAATGGAAAACACCCAGCAATCATCAACACACTGCATATAATCACATTTTCGACAACATTACACATTCCTAAACACAAGTAACTTTTCGACAGAGCAAGACCCCACTCCAATCAAATATTCAAACAACCACTCCGGCATTATCTTCATGAAACTCGTTTTCATGGATACGGTTTAGATTTAGCCAAAATTACAGAACACACATGCAATTGACGTAGTCAATATTTACGTAAAGTGGCACCAATTCACAACTTCGTAACTTTATTTTTCGGCTCTACCATTCGTCTGATGCTACGATACAGTATGCCGATGGGTTATATTCGACCCCAATACAAGCCAACACGCTCTCAATCGTGCTTCGTGAAACATTTACTGTGCCAATGACCTTCAGCAATCGCTGTCTAGCAGGCAGCAATAAACATTCTCCTTTATGAATGGTTCCATTTCGCATATTTTTTTGGAGCCTAAGTCGTTTTGGCACGCATGCGATATGGACGAACCAGGACCACGAAAGTCACCTATCTGTGGGAATTAGACAAACAGAGTTGTAACACGATGTAAGGAATCAAAACTTTAATTGTAGCGTAGGGTCCAGTTCGTTACCTGATTTGAGAATGGCTCCATGGATAATGGATAATGAATTCGAAAAAAAAATGGCACTGTTGACGCGGTCCAGCCTGTAGCAAAACTTACAGACATTGCCCTTGTCCCGCACTGGTATGTGCGTCCGTCTTCAGATTGAGCTTCGTCATTGCCCTGGGTGAATCGGTAAATAGAAAAACGTAGCACATAGGAAATGGGCAGAACATACGTGACTTGAGGCGAAGTTGGATATGCTATAGAGGAAATTGTGGCAAACATATGTGACTTGAGGCTGTTGGACGCTGCGCTTGTGCGGCCACAGCTGAGCCAGAATGGAGAAACAAGAAAATGGTTGCTTCCGATGCCAAATCTCACAACTTACGGCTTTAGGTTCTACTGTAAACGGAAAATGCAGCTTCGAGGGTACATGCTGAAGAGGGGTCAACGGCGAGGTTGGGTATCAGGCAAGGGAAGTCGACGGCAGCTGGTCAATGGGTCTGGGCAGGTTCGACGTCAAGCAGCTTTCAACAAGGGTGCATGTGCGGATGAGGGAGAAAAACGAATTGAGAAAGTGAAATGCTGGAAGGGTAGAATGGAGAAATGTCTTTTTGCATTGTCAAATTTTGAACAGTGATTGTCGGATATTTTACTGCTCCAACATTCAATTTTTCTCTACAAAAGCCAAAAAAATGTGCCCTAAACAAGGGCTAATTTTAACTAGTGTAGAGCACTGCCAAAATTGAATTGAAATTGCAGTTATGAAGTAGTTGGTGTGATTTCAAGTGGTCTAGATTTCTATTGTTTCGAAATCGAACCAATTCGTTTTCGATTATTAACCAAATCGAAACATTCACCTTATTTAGAAAATTACTTATTTTACCAAAATATATTATTTTTTAATTCAATTATACTGCAAAAAGTTTAGTCCATGTTTGATGTGAATTAAAATTATAATAAAAATTCGAGTCAAAATCAACAATTAATGTTAACCATATGTTTCATTGAACCCATAATTTTTTAACAACACATTTCATTAACTTTTATTAAAAATTACTAAAAATCTGATTTTTAGTTACAGCAAACATGGTCTTAATATACTTTCTAGACTACTCTATTGACTGTTTAGAAAAAGAATAATTTATGATAATAGTTTCTTATGAATTTCGAAAAGAATGATTTTTACGAGCTCAAATTTTATGATTCAACCTTATATTGATTTATTAGCTTAAGCTTGTACTCAGACGAAAATATTTGTATTACAATGTTTATGTTTAAAAAGTTCCAATTTAAGTGTTATATTGAAATTTCACAACAATATATTTATTTATTCACTTGTCCAAATAAGTTAATTTTATCACTTAAAACAGTTTGAAATCAAAGTGAACTGAAAAATGGTTTGGAGGAACATTGATGTGATTTAAACCGTTTAAAATAATTTAACTTGAAAATAGTTCAAAAATCTAACTGTGTTCATCTCAAATTGTAACCATACATTTCATTGCATCCACAAGTATTTAGATCTTATCAATCATTCATTTTTTAAAAAGTAAACTATAGTAACAAAAAATAAACCCCAAAACAGGAGCATATACCTTTTTGCTTTTTCGAGTCAGGAACTGAGTCAATCAAGGCATCACAGTCTTGAACTGGTCACTAGATTGTACAAGATATTATATGTTTATCCGTGTTTGTTCAGTCTAGCANCAGCCCTCGGCGATCCTGCAACCACTGTTGGAATTGTTATTCAAAATCAATAAAAACGGAGTTGGAATGATAATTGGAAAAGGAAGTCAAAACCATGATCTATGCGACCGCATAGATCAAAAAGTATGCGGCCGCAAGTGAACGTGCAGGGATTTCAACCCCTGCATCTGTTCCTTCTATGCGACCGCATATGATTCTTCTATGCGGTCGCATAGAAGAAATATATGACCGTTGAACGTTTGAATTTTTGGTGGTTATTTGTGAAAAATTGCAAACTGTTCATGATTTTTTAGTGCCATGTCTTGAGTATTGATGGCTATCTATTTATAGATAACATGAGATCAATACAAAAATATATTGAAAAACATTATTAAATCCAATATTGAGATAAAATCATCATTCCAATACAAAGAATCAATATTCTTTCATCCATATTCAAATATCTCTTTGTGTTTTTCAAGTTTTGGTAGAAAAACATAAGTGCTTAAGTGTTTTTATTATAAGACTTGATCAATCCTACAAACTATTTGCCGACAAACCCTTTAAGCACCAAATTCATCCAAGAAGGGTAAATATCGTTTAAGGACAGCGATCCTCGTGTTTGAGCCTTTTGATTCTTCTATGAAGTTGGTGATAATTTATTTCCTGGTTTTGGTTCGTGGCTTTCGTCTCAAATCTTTTTGTGGAGAATCAATTTATGATGTTGATGATTACTTGTTTCCGGATTTTCTCCAACTCATTCAAGTGGAAGCGATTTCGTTGATATTCTTGATCATTTGTTCATTGATTTCTTCTCCAAGGAATTATGATATGTGAAATCTCGAGGTTAGTAACACAAATTTGTACTGTTAAAAAAAAATCCAACTTGCTTATAAGAAATTTAACAATTTCTTAAATATTAGTAACGCAATGAATGATCTCAACTTCAATTGTGTGACTTCGATGCCAAAGACAAATTCGAAGATGATGAGTTTTTTAGCCAATTGGCGAATGACGCAACGAACTGGGTTGCGTATTGTAGGATCGCATACAGGGACGCGAGAAACTACTATAGCAAACAGCAGCGTCGTATTCAAAGATTTTCTTTTTCTAGAAATGACCACATGTTTATGAAGAATCAATGGAAAAGAATGGAAATATATATATGCTATCAAAAATTCTCAATGTACTCACAAGAGTTGCGACATTCTGCACATATTATGCGTGACGAATATGGCTTATGTAGTAACCAACAGGTAGATATCTACGAGCAAGTTGGAATGTTCTTGTGCATATTAGCACATGGAAATGGGTGCCGACGGGTGACAACGATATTCAACCATTCGTTGCAAACAGTATGCCATTATTTCAAAGAGGTTCTTCGTGTCGTTGTTGTGCTATTGGCACCTCTTATAAAATCTAGTCTGAACTATAACCACAGAGAAGATCCCTACAGGCCGGATCCAACTAAGCATCTCGTGTTTCAGGATTGCATTAGAGCTATTGATGGAACGAATGTGAAAGCTGTGCTACCGAGTCACGAGCGTGTGAATTTCATAGGCCGAAAAGGAGTACCGACGCAAAATGTGTTGGCCACGTGTGATTTCAATTTATGTTTCACGTTTGTCCTTTCTGGCACCACGGGGAATACGCACGACGCTCGAATACTGGCTCGTGCTATATACAGTCTAACGCTGGGTAAGTATTATTTGATTGACTTCAATTTGGCTCATCAACCGGGATATATGGCCCTATACTAAGGATCAGATATATTGTACCATTTTCAAGAGTTCGGCGTCGATGGAGCAGGTTGTCTCGACATTTTCGAAATGCTTGTGAGAGATTTAACTAAGACACTATTCGTACAGAAACGTGATTGAACGTGTCTTTGGTGTGTGGAAGCAAAGATGACAAATCATTGACCGTATACCTAGCCATTCATTTAAAACACAAGTTTCAGTTGTCGTCGCAACGATGGATATTCATAATTTCTTATGTCAAACTGGATTTGTGGACGAGACGTTTGCGAGAGCATAGATGGATGACGGTGCATCTGAGGTGGAGCTACCTAACGCTGAAGACGAAATGCATACCGAAATGAATGCACATAAAATGCAGCGAAGTGAGTGGGACAGACTTCGCGATTATATGTTACAACAACGCTATAATTTTTTTATGATGTGTAATATTTTGCACATGTGTAGTGTAATAAGAATATAGATAAATAAATTGATATCGAATTTTGAAAGAATGTGGATAGGGATCAAAACTCATTTTCAACCACACATTTTTCAATAAAATAATATTTTCCATCTCATCTAAAATTTCTTCTTTTTTAACCGCATATTTTCTATTATATCACTATGTGAAATTCATTATTCCTTCAATAATGTGCATCGAACATCCCCCATATCAATTTATTTGTTTATGTTCTTATTACACTACACGTGTACATCCTAAAAAATTATTGCGTCGTTGTTGTGCCATATAATCGCGAAGTCCGTCATACTCACTTCGCTGCATTTCGTGTGCATTCATTTCATCTTCAACTTTAGGTAGCTCCACATCGGGTACATCGTCATCTTTCTCTACTCTCGCAAACGCCTCGTCCACAAATAAAGTACGACGTAAGAAATTATGAATACCCATCGCTGTGATGAAAACTGCAACTTGTGTTTTAAATGATTAGCTAAGCATACGGTCAAGAATTTGCTATTATTGCTTCCACACACCAAAAGCACGTTCAATTACGTTTCTGTACGAAGAGTGTCTGTAGTTAAATCTCTTACAAGCATTCCGAAAACGTCGAAGATGACTGTTCCATCGTCGCGGAACTTTTGAAAATGGTACAATATATCTGATCCTTAGTATGAGGCTATATATCCCGGTCGATGAGTAAAATCGGAGTCAACCAAATAATACTTACCCGGTGCTGGTAGCGGAAAGTGAATTTCTGGACTGTATATAGCACGAGCCAGTATTTGAGAGTCGTACGTATTCTCGGTGGTGCCAGAAAGGACAAACGTGAAACATAAGTTGAAATCACATGTGGCTAACACATTTTGCGTCGGTACTCCTTTTTGGCCTATGAAATCCACACGCTCGTGATTTGGTAGCACAGCTTTCACATGTGTTCCATCAATAGCTCCAATGCAATCCTGAAACAGGGGATGCTTAGTCTGGTCTGACCTTTAGGGATCATCTCCTTGGTTATAGTTCAGAGTGTATGAGAAATGTTAATAGCACAACGACGACATGGAGAACCTCTTTGAAGAAATGGCATACTATTTGCAACGAATGGTTGAATATTTTTATCACTTGTTAGTATTCCTTTCCATGTGCTAATATGCACAAGAACATTCCAACTTGCTCGTAGATATCTACATGCTGACTACTGTAGAAGCAATATTCATCACGCAGAATGTCGCAACACTTGTGGGTACATTCGAAATCTTTGATAGCATATATGTTCGTTCTCTTTCATTGCCTCCTTCATAAACATGTGGTCATTTCTTTAAAAAAAAAAGAAATCTTTGAATACGACGCTGTTGTTTGTTATAGTAGTTTTTCGCGTCGCTATATGCGATCCTACAATACGCAACCCAATTCGTTACGCTATCGCCGTTGGCTAAAAAACTCATCATCTTCAAATTCATGTTCCTCATCGAAGTTCGATAGAAGCACACAATTGAAGTTGAGATCATCCATTGCGTTACTGATATTTAAGAAATTGTTAAATTTCTTATAAGCAAGTCGAAGAAATTTTTTTGAACAGTACAAATTTGTGTTACTAACCTCGGGATTTCACATATCATACGTAAATGTGGCACGTGAGTTGTTTTCTTTGATTGACCTTTCAGTGCTGGTTGTACCAAATTTTCAAAATAAAAAAAACTGCATCATATTGTACATTTTCAATGTTTTCTAACTAGTGCCGAAAGATTCCCCAAA